GGTTTTCAAATGCCAGAACTTAGTTTTCAAAAGCCAGAACTTGGTTTTCAAATGCCAGAACTTGGTTTTCAAATGCCAGAACTTGGTTTTCAAATGCCAGAACTTGGTTTTCAAATGCCAGAACTTGGTTTTCAAATGCCAGAACTCCATTTTCAAAAGCCAATACTCCATTTTCAAAAGCCAGAACTCCGTTTTCAAATGCCAGAACTACGTCAGTTTACATCACAGAAAATCAGTTATTTTTCATCGGTTGTAGGTGCGACGAAGCTGTCCAAGATTGTCAATTACTGGCAAACGATGTTAAAGAATATTTTAATATGGATCTCTTTGAAATATAAAGCTACGTTTGCATTGAAGCGAACACGTGCCACAACGAAAGACCGTAAATGACCAGCAAAAAGTAGAAAAACAACAGCAACAACCCAATTGAAGATGAAACAACAGCGACGAACAAGAGATTTTTTATTATGAATGTTTTTGTTATCTAATAGAGTTTTTTCCTCCTCTTAAATTAATTTATTGAATTACCTTTTTCCATACTAAACTATTAAAGTTCAGGTTCTGATCTCCATATGGTCGTAACGGTCGTAAAGATTGAGTCACGATCTTTCTCATCAGCCCAAATACAACATTTCGGAATTGAAAATACGCGGAGCGATTATAACAAGAGAATACTTATGGTTTATATGTGGTTATGTTTACAGGTATAATAGACTGTAATAAACTGGCCGTTGAGAAAGATCGTGAGGCGTGACTCCAGGTTTTAGAGCGCTGCAGCGGAATCGCAGGGCTACAGGTTAGATTCCTACCAGATGGACCCATAGAGTATAGTTGCATTTTTCGCAACGGCTCCTAGGTTAAAAAATGTATAAAATTTACACTAGAAAATTTCTACCTACAAATAACGGCCGGTCAACGGATGTTGACAAAAAAAGCCTTTTGACCGATCACTTTTTTACTTCGCCAGTCATTTTGACCGGCCACATTTTCATGCCTTCCAATATGATTGCTGATGTCTTGAATTAAAACATGAAACTAGATGTATCGAATCAAGTTTCTGATAGTTTGTTTCACTGTTAGTGTAAGCGTATCGATGACAGATTTTGACCGAGGTATTAAAAAATCTAGTTGACGTAGCTAAAATTAATTTTGAGCCCTGCTCTTGGGAGAACAGTTTATTAAACTAACCAGTGTAAATTAGTTTAATTTTCTAGAGGCATTCAAAGTGTGCTTTTCTTAGCGTTTTGTAGGGTAAGTATAAATTCGCGGGGTGGGGGGGGGGGGGG